GGGGGGGGGTAGTGGGGGGGTGGTAGTGGGGGTTGTAGTGGGGGTGGTAGTGGGGGGGTGGTAGTGGGGGGGTAGTGGGGGGGTGGTAGTGGGGGGGTGGTAGTGGGGGTTGTAGTGGGGGGTGGTGGTAGTGGGGGTGGTAGTGGGGGGGGTGGTAGTGGGGGGATGGTAGTGGGGGGGTGGTGGGGGGGTGGTAGTGGGGGGGGGGTAGTGGGGGGGTTGTAGTGGGGGTGGTAGTGGGGGGGTTGTAGTGGGGGTGGTAGTGTGGGGTAGTGGGGGGTGGTGTGTGGTAGTGTGTGGTAGTGTGTGGTAGTGGGGGGGAGTGGGTGGTAGTGGGGGGTAGTGTGTAGTAGTGGGTGGTAGTGGGGGGTAGTGGGGGGAAGTGGGGGGAAGTGGGTGGTAGTGGGGGGTAGCAGAGTGTTCACGTGAGAGCCCCGGATAGAGAGGGGGGGGGTGGGAGGACGTGGAAGGATAGAGATGGATGAGTGAATGAATGAGTGAATGGATGAGTGAATGGATGGATGAGTGAATGAGTGAATGGATGAATGAGTGAACTGATGAGTGAATAGGTGAGTGAATGAATGAGTGAATGGATGGATGAGTATGAATAAGTGAATGAATGTGTGAATGAATGAGTGAATTTATGGATGAGTGAATGAATGAGTGAATGGATGGATGAGTGAATGGGTGAGTGAATGAATGAGTGAATTAATGAGTGAATGAATGAGTGAACGGATGAGTGAATGGATGGATGAGTGAATGGGTGAGTGAATGGATGGATGAGTGAATGGGTGAGTGAATGAGTGAATGGATGAGTATGAATACGTGAATGAATGTGTGAATGAATGAGTGAATGTATGGATGAGTGAATGAGTGAGTGAATAAGTGAGTGAATGAGTGATTGGATGGATGAGTGAATGAATGAGTGAACGGATGAGTGAATGAGCGAACGGATGAGTGAATGAGTTAACGGATGAGTGAATGAGGTAACGGATGAGTGAATGATGAGTGAATGGTAGATTCGGGACGGGACACGCACACAGGCACACACACACGTGACACACACACACGTGACACACACACACAGGTGACACACACACACGTGACACACACACACATACGTGACACACACACACACACACACGTGACACACACACACACACGTGACACACACACACACACACGTGACACACACACACACGTGACACACGTGACACACACACACGTGACACACACACACACACACGTGACACACACACACACACGTGACACACACACACACACACGTGACACACACACACGTGACACACACACACACGTGACACACACACACAGGTGACACACACACACGTGACACACACACACACACGTGACACACACACACGTGACACACACACACGTGACACACGTGACACACACACACGTGACACACACACGTGACACACACACACACGTGACACACACACACGTGACACACACGTGACACACACGTGACACACACGTGACACACACACACACGTGACACACACACACAGGTGACACACACACACGTGACACACACGTGACACACACACACACACGTGACACACACACACGTGACACACACACACACACGTGACACACACACACACGTGACACACACACACACACGTGACACACACACACGTGACACACACACACACGTGACACACACACACACGTGACACACACACACACGTGACACACACACACACGTGACACACACACACACACGTGACACACACACACACACACGTGACACACACACACACACGTGACACACACACACGTGACACACACACACACACACGTGACACACACACACGTGACACACACGTGACACACACGTGACACACACACACGTGACACACACACACGTGACACACACACACACACGTGACACACACGTGACACACACACGTGACACACACGTGACACACACACACGTGACACACACACACACGTGACACACACGTTACACACACGTGACACACACAAACGTGACACACACACACGTGACACACACACACGTGACACACACACACGTGACACACACGTGACACACACACACGTGACACACACACACGTGACACACACACACACACACGTGACACACACACACACGTGACACACACACGTGACACACACGTGACACACACACACGTGACACACACACACACACACGTGACACACACGTGACACACACGTGACACACACACACGTGACACACACGTGACACACACACACGTGACACACACGTGACACACACACACGTGACACACACACACGTGACACACACACACACGTGACACACACACACACGTGACACACACACACGTGACACACACACGTGACACACACACGTGACACACACACGTGACACACACACGTGACACACACACGTGACACACACACACGTGACACACACACGTGACACACACGTGACACACACACGTGACACACACACACGTGACCCTGCTACCTTGAGGTCCTCCTCCATCTCCGACCGTTTCCTCTCCAGGGCTCTCTTCTCCTGGGGAGGGGAGGAGGGAGGGGGGAGGGGGGGGAAGGGGGAGGGGGGAGGGGGGAAGGGGGAGGGAGGGGGGAGGAGGAAGGGGGGAGAAGAGGGATGGAGAGGGGGGTGAGAGGTCAGATCCAGGAGGTGGTGACAGTGGTGGTGGTGGTGATGGTGACCATCGTCACCATGGTGACGATGGTCACCATGGTCACCACGGTGACGATGGTCACCACGGTAACGACGGTCACCATGGTAACGATGGTCACCACGGTGACGATGGTCACCATGGTAACGACGGTCACCATGGTAATGGTCTACAGGACTCACCCTCTTCTCCGCTTCCAGAAGTGTCGAGCGGTTTGGCCTCTGCGAGACAAAAACGTCATCACAACGTCATCACAACGTCATCACAACGTCATCACAATGTCATCACAACGTCACGTCACAACGTCACGTCACCACGTCGTCACAACGTCGTCACAACGTCGTCACAACGTCATCACAACGTCGTCACAACGTCATCACAACGTCGTCACAACGTCGTCACAACGTCACCACAACGTCATCACAACGTCATCACAACGTTCACCACAACGTCATCACAACGTCATCACAACGTCACCACAACGTCATCACAACGTCATCACAACGTTCACCACAACATCACGTCAAAACGTCATCACAACGTCATAACAACGTCACGTCATAACGTCATCACAACGTCATCACAACGTCACGTCACAACGTCATCACAACGTCATCACAACGTCACGTCACAACGTCACAACGTCATCACAACGTCATCACAACGTCATCAGAACGTCATAACAACGTCACGTCACAACGTCATCACAACGTCATAACAACGTCACGTCACGTCATCACAACGTCATCACAACGTCACGTCACAACGTCATCACAACGTCATCACGTCACGTCACGTCACGTCACAACGTCATCACAACGTCATCACAACGTCATCACAACGTCATCACGTCACAACGTCATCACAACGTCATCACAACGTCATCACAACGTCGTCACAACGTCATTACAACGTCATCACAACGTCATCACAACGTCACGTCACAACGTCATCACAACGTCATCACGTCATCACAACGTCACGTTACAACGTCATCACAACGTTGTCACAACGTCATCACAACGTCATCACAATGTCACGTCACAACGTCACGTCACAACGTCACATCACAACGTCATCACAACGTCATGTCACAACGTCACATCACAACGTCACGTCACAACGTCATCACAACGTCATCACAACGTCACGTCACAACGTCATCACAACGTCATCACAACGTCATCACAACGTCATCACAACGTCACGTCACAACGTCATCACAACGTTGTCACAACGTCATCACAACGTCATCACAACGTCACCACAACGTCACGTCACAACGTCACGTCACAACGTCATCACAACGTCACGTCACAACGTCACATCACAACGTCACGTCACAACGTCACGTCACGTCATCACAACGTCATCACAACGTCATCACAACGTCATCACAACGTCGTCACAACGTCATCACAACGTCATCACAACGTCGTCACAACGTCATCACAACGTCATCACAACGTCATCACCACGTCATCACAACGTCATCACAACGTCACGTCACAATGTCATCACAACGTCACGTCACATCACAACGTCATCACAACGTCAAGTCACAACGTCACGTCACAACGTCACGTCACAACGTCACATCACAACGTCACGTCATCACAACGTCACATCACGTTATCACAACGTCGTCACAACGTCATCACTACAACGTCATCACAACGTCACATCACAACGTCACATCACAACGTCACGTCACAACGTCACGTCACAACGTCATCACAACCTTTACATCACAACATCACGTCACAACGTCATCACAACGTCACGTCAACAACGTCACATCAACGTCACGTCACAACGTCACGTCACAACGTCACGTCACAACGTCATCACAACGTCACATCACAACGTCACATCACAACGTCACGTCACAACGTCACGTCACAACGTCATCACAACCTTTACATCACAACGTCACGTCAACAACGTCATCACAACGTCACGTCCACAACGTCACATCACAACGTCACAACACGTCCCAACGTAACGTCACACGTCATCACGTCACACAACGTCATCACA